CCATTAACTCATCACACTTTCATTGAGCACATTCTATGGCAGTTACCATGTAGAGTCCTTGGACATAAAGATGAATAGGAAAAAATCTGCACCAGATAGACAAATGTAAACAGGCCTGAGCAATGTGAGAAGGGTACAGGCCCAGCACAGTGGGTAAGAGCATGGGCTCTAGTGCCAGATGGCTTGGGCCTACCGCAACACTATTGATTTCACACATTTCCTCACTTCTCTCTCCCTCTGTTTCTCCATCTGTAAAACGGGTAGAATAATCACTGTGAGGATTTTCTGTCCATTTGGGCGGCTGTAACAAAATACTAAAAACTGTGCAGATATGAACAACAGAAATTTCTTTCTTTCAATTATGGAGGCTGTGAAGTCCAAGATCAAATTGCTGGCAGATTCAGGGTCTGAAGGTGGGCCCACATCCTGGTGTACAAATGGTGGTCTTCTTATCACTCTATTCTCCTGAGTTGGCAGGGACAGGGCAGTGTTCTGGGGCCTCGCCTATAAGGTCACTAATCCCATTCATGAAGGCAGAACCCTCTTGATCTAATCATCTTCCCAAATCCCATTTCTTGTTACTATCACACTAAGTGATTAAATTCCAACATATGGATTTGGAGGAGACAGAAATGTGCAGACCATAGCAAGGTCCAAGTGAGGTCATGCATATAACAGGTGCTTGGTAAGGCATGTAACAGGTGCTACTGTGACTAGATGCCACTTCTCAGATGGTAGAGGAGACACGGGAGGTTACCTATTGGTCCCCTCCTGCATAGGGAAGGGAATGAGTAGAGGAAAGGAAGTAATTTTTGAGCTGGACCTTGAAAGATAAACTAGCTAAGCGGATAAGAACAGCAGTGGCCTACGAGCAAAGGAAACATAGTGTGTAAATGTTCTGAGGTATGCCCTGGCCAGCCACTCTTGAACTGCAGTCGTCTGCATTTTCTTAGACTATATATTATATGTGGGTGACTTCTGCTTACCATGAAAATAAGCATAGGCTAGATCCCCAAAGGCACTATTATTAGTAGTAGGTAGGATTACATCTTTTGCAAATGACCAATTTTACACAGAAGATTTAAGTTAAAATGGCATTTAGAAGTTATCATTATGAAAAAGTACAAAGAAAAATACCACCATAGGCATATCTAGTTCAAGGTTGAAACAGTAACTCCAAGACTCACTTTTTCTCTTTTATCTCCATCTTCATTTGTGGATGAATTCATTCTCAGGTGTTATTAGCTTTGTGATGTAAGATGCCAGCTGGAGGTTCAGAAGCTGAAGTCCAATGGAAAAAAGAGATTCTCTCCAAAGAAGTTCCAGCAAAGTCCCACTGGCTTTCATTGAGTCACCTGGACCAATTATTTTGGTGAGGGAATGCTATTCTTCGATTGATCAGGCCAAGAAGCTCATAGACTAAGCATATGAAGGAGGATATTCCTTCAGAAGGAAGTTGGGTATAGATGGCAGGAAAAGAATATGGAATGCGTGCCTGCTAGAAACACCCAGAAGTGTAAGACACATTTTATATTTAGAGTTTGGGAGGACCATTGCTGGTTTTTATGCTGTGGAGTGACGTGACTGTATTTCCATTTTAGAAGAATATATTAAACTAGGCGTGGGGGATAAGTTGGAGGGTTGTGGCTGGAGGTAAGGGGTTGGTTGCAAAGGTTTCTAATAACCAAGGGAAGCGATGATGAACATATGGATGAGACTTGGCATCCAGAATGAAAGTTTCAGTGACTCAGAAGTATACATTTAGGGTCTAGAACCGCAAGAATTTGGTGCTGAACAAAATTCAGTGGGGAGGGAAAAGAAGACATCTAGAATGCATTTAGGCTTGTGGCCTTGGATAGTGATGCCATTTAAGCAAAGTGGAGCTACAGAAGGAGAGAGGGGACATTATAGGACAAAAAATAGCTAATATCTAAAATTTATTTATGTTCATCATCTTTTTTCCCAGAGTGTTACAGAAAAGGTATATTCAGAGTTCATGACATCTATCTTTCACCATAAGCAACATTATTCGCAGTGATGAGTGACCTGGGTACATCCTTGTGCAGAATGTGAGCTAGGAACCTGGTGCCCAGGTACCTGCACGTTTTTGACTCACACTGTGGTCTTCACCTTGCCCCTCTGCCTTTTCATTTGTTTTGCTCTTTTCTTTTATCCTGAATGTTTTCTGTCTGTATTTTACTTTTCTAAGATGCTGTAAGTCTTTCTAGAACAAGATAGTATGTATTCAATTCATAATGCCTTATTAATATTCAATACAAGTTAGCCCTTACAAAGAATGATTGGAATGAAACTTAGATTTTTCTTAAAAAAAAAATCACGCTTCCATTTTCCTTACACAAATATCCACAAATGTGGAAAAATTGTACCTGCTTGTTTTTTTTTTTTTTTTAAGAAACAAAAGACACTGGCATTTATTTGCTTAAGATTTTATTCTTTCAATACCAAAACTGGCTTTCCTTTCCCATGTCAGCTCTCTGATCCCCATCACCACCCCACCAGATATCTCAAGATAAAGTTTATCTCAGGGCCTAAGACGAATAAGAGAAACTTTGTTTAAAATGCTACTCAAAATAGGCTTTGAAATGAAAAGCATTTACAAGATAAGTAAACAATGTCCAAAAATAAATGCATTTATAGATCATGCTCAGAAAAAAATTTACACAACAATCTTGCGGGTCATGACTGTCTGCATGACATCTCCATTTCCACTTTCTCCAGAAAATTCTGTTGTCCTGAAATGGCCTAAATTTTCTATTTCTAAGATTAGATAGATTCGGTTGTTTGTGCTCTATATCCGGGAATCTGGCTTTAGCTGTAATGCGTAGGCAGATGATCATCTCACACCACTTTGGCTCTCTCTTCTTGGTCTAACCCTTATTGCTCTTGAACAACTGGGCCCATTGCCTGACTCAGGAGAGCAACAAGGGGACAGAGTATGGAGGCAAGGGAGGTCTGAAAAACAGGAGAGTCAAGCATTGCGCCCAGATACAACCCATCAGTCATTACAAGTTTCACCACTGATAATGGCAGCTCTCAGTTCTGGAGCATGCAGACCTTCACCCTCTCATGAAGTCCCCACCCCTCAGGCTGGCCTTTGGGGCTCTTACAAATATGGTCCATCAATATCTGTCCTGGGTCTCTGCTCTCACTTGCTGCTTTGTCTGCATTGCTATTCCTGCCTGTGTGTCCTTCCTCTCACTTGGGTCACTCCAAGTCCTGTCATCACCTAAGGCCCAGTGGGCAGAGATTTCCTTGGCCTTCTCTATCACCTCACAGTTTGGAAGCAAACATTTGGTCCTCTTTTACAGCAATTTGTCTCTACCCCGAGCCCGACACTTAGCATATTTTAGTTTGTTCTTTTCCAGAATTGTAGGTAAGTTTATGTATACATTGCTGTATCCTTAGAAATTTGATGGCAGGGGCTGTGCCATTTTCATCTTGGTGTTCCTCTGTCTTCACAAAGGAGGTGACATGATTCACACATTTGTAGGCACTAAAAAACTTATTAAATTAACAAGCAAAGAGGGGAATAAATAGAAGGAGCATTAGAAGATACTGAAAGAAAAGCCTAAGGGAATATGATTACTATAAACCAAGGGAGTGGGAGATGAGACAGAGCCACAGACTAACTGACAGATTGCAGTTCAAAGGGCAATAAGAAGTGGGACCTGGGGGCTTGGAGGAGACAGCTATTTATCTGTTTGATCTCTCTCCTGCCTCCTCCTGTTCATTCTCTGATTGGCTCACTTGTGGATCAGCTAGCACTCATGGATCAGTGGACACATGCTTTGCCTCCTTGGAATTCAGGATTTAGGAAATCCACAAGAAATCACGTGCTAGAGTGATATAAAGCAGTGGCCTTATTTGTGAGAATGCTATCAGGTTAGAAGTTTGATTTAGGAGACCATCATGTTGAAAGGTTTGGGAGAATGACCTACTGGCTGTTTCTCTCCATTTCCATCTTCATTTCCATTACCCCTCCCAGGCCTCTATTCCCTCTCTAGGATTTTCACTCCTTCCCAGTTGAAAATACCATGTTTTGAGGGAACAGGGAGTAAGTGGTGCTGACTTCCTCATTTTCTCTGCATCCATTTCACCCACTTAAATACACCTTGGTATGCCCACTCTCTTCCCACATGTAAAATCTCCTCTGGTCCCCAATCCTGGGAAAAGCAGTCTTGTGTAGCTCTAGCATTGAACCCATCTATTTTCCACAGTGCCCAAAACAGAGTTGTGACAAGTGTGCTCCCTGCACTCTATCTAGCCTCTATGAAGGTCAGGCTGTATTCCACCTGACTTGGCGCCATGGTGTCTGGTCCACACACAGGGGCTCACCAAGGAGCTGTTGTGTGAATGTACACCAACACAAAGAACTAAACAATAAAACAAAAGAAATTTATCACTTTAGTTTGCTTGAAAATGCTCAGCGTCTCTTACCTTTGTTGTATGACCTATTATAGCTTTTGAGAACTCTCACACCCTGTCTGGGATGTTATGTTTCTCTTAAATAACAGACAAAACTGTAATTTTATGAATATTTAATGGGACAATATCATCCAGCTGACTTTATCACAATGGACATTTAATAAAAGTTTTGTCAATATTGTCTTTAATTTGTTTAAATATTTATGAACATTACTTTTTTTTTTTTTTTTTTGGTGATGCTGGGGACTGAACCCAGGGCCTTGTGCATGCAAGGCAAGCACTCTACCAACTGAGCTATATCCCCAGCCCCATAGACATGACTTTCAAGAGAATCCATATCTGGAGTTATTGTGGACAGCTCATGTTGGTGTGGTTTTAGCTGCGTGGTGGTTTATCTTGTTTTGATAAATTCCTCCAGAACTGTCTGCAGATGCTCTGGAATCTGAGTAGGAGTTCTTTGGAACTCTTTCCTGCTCCTTCCACCTTCCAGTAACCCAGATGAGATTGAAGCATCAGCCGTGGTGACCTGGAAACTTTCAGGTCTGCAGTCGGGGTCACAGTTCGTCATCTTCTGATATGGAATCCAGGTAATCCGTGTCAACGTACAGGAGAAATCCAGAGAATAAGCTGTCTGCCCAGCCTGGGTCTGAGAAGAGGCCATTCTGGTCTGTGAAGAAGATCTCCAGCCAGACTTCATCTTCTGGCTGCAGGTAGATGACGGTGGACCCTGAAGCCACGTCATGGTTCCCTGTGTTGGCATCGAAGGTCTTTATCCGGAATTGCCCATTGTGCACCAGCCCGATTGCCAGGTGCTTATTGGCCAAAGTGATATCATAAGAAAAATAGTAGATTCCTGGGAAAGCGCAGATGAACTTTCCTGTCGCAGGGTTGTAGTGCTCACCCTCATTGAAGAGCACCTTGTTAAATATAATAGGTATTCTTTCTTCAGGGTAGCTGGTGGTGATGCCAACAGAAAAGGCGGATTTGAGCACGAGGCTGCCACATCTGCACACTCCAGGGAGCCCTGGGTCCCCTTGGTCTCCTCGGTCTCCCTTTGGTCCAGGAGGCCCAACTGGACCTACTTCTCCTTTCTCTCCCTCTGGTCCCATGGGTCCTTTCTTCCCAGTCTCTCCTTGGTCCCCTTTTTCGCCAGCAAGACCCAGGGGTCCCGTCTTACCTCTCAGACCTTCAAAGAGAGTTTATAGTTGAATTAATAGTTCTTCTAAAGAGTCATGAACAGCATTATCTACATGGTCCCAGCACACCAACTTTGTCTTTTCAGTCAACCTTTTAGTTAGTTAGCATTACTAACTAAAAAAATCCTCTAAAAAAAATCACTGATACACTGAAAATGAAAACAGAAAATTTTCATCAGAATTTCAAGTCTGTTTTCCTGAGTATGTTACACATCATTTAAGACCTGTCTAATTTTAAAATAATTAACTACTATTTTGATGATGATGGATGACCTGTCATTCAATTATTCCAATCCAGGTACTGGTCACTGTCTGAAGAGTTCAGTGAGCACAATGATATTATTCTCCAGAGTAGACTCATAGGGACAAATAATTCTTATAATCTATTTAGTCTCATGCCCCATTCTATTTCAGTTAGTTTTTTAACAAAATAACGAATGTTAAATTTGCTTATGTTTATGAACCGTTTATTATGTGTCAAGAAAAGCATTAAGAGTTTTATTTGCTGTATTATCTCATTTAAATATCACACAACTCTATGAACTAAGAATTATTAATACTTTAATTTCAGATGAGAAAGCTGAGCCATGGAAAAGTTATTTTGCTCAAGAGATAGAGCTAATGAGTGATAGAGCTGTGATCAGAATGGCATGCATCCTGCCTGACTCTGGAGACTGAGTATCCCCCAGGGGCAGTGGCTAGAGTATGAGCTGGTATGTAGTGTTAATATGATACAATAACCAGAAAACTATGACTGCCGCCACCTCGCATTAGTTCCTTTGTGGAGAGAAAACTGATGCCTGCAGCTGTGACGAAACTTGCTTCTGTGGCAAGGCCAGGGCTAGAGTCCAAGCCTTAATAGCCTGATGATGTTGCCCGGTCCTCAGAATGCTTCTTCCCTTTAGGGTGCTACTCAAGAATCCTAATTCTGTTTGGCTCTGCTCCTATATGGCTGTTTTCTCTTAGGGAAGCCCATTCATTTAACTGGGAAGGACATAATAACTATGAAAAAGTTTTCAACAAATTTGAAGTTACCGTGCAAGATTATTTTCTCTATGTCCAAATTGCTGTTATCTACAGATCAGCTACAGATTAAGTGCAGAGACATGGTGATCATGGTTTAAATAAGCAAAATACACTTAATTTCAAAGCTGTAAAGACTTAATATTATAAAAAAGATGTTATTCAATTTGTTATGGTTTAGATATGAAGTGTCCCCAAAAAGCTCACATGTGAGACAATTCAAGAAGGCTCAGAGGTGAAATGATCAGAGTATGAAAGGCTTAAACTAATCAGTGGATTAATCCATTGGTGGATTAATTGGGCGGTAATTCTAGGCAAGTATAGTTACTGGGTGTGACTGGATTAACAGGCCACTGAGGCCATGCCTTTGGGGTTCATGTTTGGTCCTGGTCAGCAGATCTCTCTCTGCTTTCTGCCTGTCAGGTTCTGAGCGGCTTTCCCCCACCACGCCTGTCCACCATGAAGCCCAGAGCTAGGAAGTTGGCTATCTATGAAGTGAATCCCTAAAACCATGAGCCAAAATAACCTTTTTCTCTTCTACGTTGTTCTTGTTAGGTCTTTTGATCAGTGCACTGCAAAAGCAGACTAAAACACAATTGTATGGCCAAATCCATTTTATAAATAGTTCTCATGTCATGATATTTTCCCCAAATTTCCAAAATATCCAAATTATCAGATATCTGCAATGTACTTTTGTAGTCAGAGAAAATATATTGTTGACATATAGTTTTACTTTTAACTGTGATTCTGTTCTCAAGAACTTTTATGAATGTAAATCTTTTTATCTTTTTTAAATTTTATTTTATTTATTGGTTTGTTTTATTTTTATGTGGTGCTAAGGATTGAACCCAGTACCCCACACATGCTAGGCAGTGTTCTACAACTGAGCTGCAGCCCCAACCCTTTTTTGTTTATCTTGGTAGTGCTTTGACATCATTTATTTGGATATTGTACGTACATCAATGTGTGAATTTTGATTTGTTTTTCAAACAAATTAAGGCAAAGTTAACAAAGAAGCATTCTGGGTAATGCAAATTGGAGAAGAATTAAAGCTTTGCCTTTAATATATCAACTATTGTGATTTAATAATTTTGAAAAGTGGCTGTTGGCAATTTATGCTGCACAGGATGCAAACAGTGAACATGACCTTTACTTGGTGGGTAGGACCAGCGTTCTTCCTGATCCAGTCCTGCCTCCAGCTGAAGATGGTTTTTCTTGTTAAGTTGAAACTCTAGTCCCATCCAGAGCACTCTGATATTTATTTCTTTGAACAAGGTCAGAATAGTCTGATCGTTCTATGTTTGATTTTTTTTGGTAGAGATGGAACATGAACATGATTTTATTGTTAAATTTACTTTAGACTCAAATAACTTCTAAATTGCTATTTTATCTTCAACAGAAGCTTAACTTTTTCTGTCTTCATCATTGATTTTTTTATGTATTAGTAAAAATTATTTTGGTCTCAATAACAATTTTAACCATAAGATTTCATTATGAACTCAAATCCCCCTGCTTCTATGATTTTGGGTACATCACTCTCGATTTCAAATGCTGCATTCGTTAAAAAAAAAAAAAAAAAGCAGACCTAAATCTACTTCAAACTTAGTGAGCAAAGGAGTCAATAGCGACTCAACAGATCTGGGATAAAACCCACTTTAGCCATGGATTAGTTAGATGCATTTGCTCTCTGGCTCCATTTTCCTAGTAGTTGAAGTGAAGGTTTGGACTGGATTGCTTAAGTCTCATCCTCTTGAAAATTCAATGAGGCCAAATCATAAAGACTGGGATGTCATTTCACAATGCTGCACATGAAAAGATCTTCACCACCTCCATGCCTGGATGTCCCATAATAATATTGAGTTAATGTGCTGAGCTGTTGGGGTGATGACCTTCATGGACTAATTATAGTAATTCTTTTTTTGTGCATGAAGAATTTGTCCATGTGCTGGAGGTCTACACACTAAGAGCAGAAAGAAGGGCTGAATCATTCTCCCTCTTCCTATTTAATCAGATATATGCTCAGATAAAGAGAATTATGGAGTAAGGGTTAGTCTATGCTTAGGTACTGAAGCTTGGACAGAAGCAATTTCTTCTTATTTCTCCATGAAATGTACTTACCTTGATTTCCTCTTCAGGGCCATTTTATCCATCCATCCATCCATCATCCATGGATTTATGCATGTATGCACACATCCATCTAAAACATTCAATATTGGTTGACCATCCACTATCTGCCAGTCATTGTGACAGGGGTTGGGTGTGACATTGGCACAAAAATCACCTGCCCCATTCTCAAATTAGCTGTTATTATCTTGAAATCTTTAAATATGGGTCATAGATAAGCTAAATGATACCTTAAACCCATACAGTAAACTAGAATGAGGAATCTGTTTCATGAGTTAGTTCTAGGGCTATTTGAAAATATATTTTTTATGGATTTGCATTCAAATTAAATGAAATGTGAATATGTTACAGTAATTATGGCTATAGACCAGAGAGAGAGACAGCTTCTTTTTTTACAGATAATTTATGATTTAGTATAATCAGTTCTGTGTTTCTAATTTAGGGTAGAGAAGTTGGACAACAACAACAACATAATACCCTGGTTCCACCTGGACTTGGTGGGGTGGATGTGGTGAGTGTTCACTAAGAGTGACCAATGAGAAGAGACTTGTGGTGTCATTAAAGGAGAACCAGGGAGCAGAAACCCCCTATTCCAGCTTCAGCTACATTAATCCTCAAAGCCCAAGGCTGTGCTCCCATAGTTTCTACAGGGAATGCTTCTATCTCTTGCCTTTCCTTTTGGAAGTGTTATATAGCCTTATGTATATATTGGGTTTAAATAATCCCAGGCTGGGAGAGTCACTTTACTTTTGAATATTAATTTTTTAATTTATAGCATTCTTTTCATTGCTCATTATCATCATTGCAAATTATAATAGTGGACATCAAATACTAGATTTAGAGTTCTAGATGAGTAGTAAGTTCTTAATGAAAGGTCATTATTTAGACACAGTGTAATTATGTGTTCATATATTGGCCTCCCCTACACACATGTCTGCTTCTCAGGACATGGACAATGTATTATTCATGATTTTGTTCCCAGTGTCCTCAAACAGGTGCAATTTTGCACTATCCACCTCCTACCCAAGGGGACAGTTGCTGGTGTCTGCAGATATTCTGGTTGTTGTAGTTGAGAGGCATTCAGGTGATACTGCCCAAAGGCCTACAGTGCACAGGAGAGCCACCCGCACAAATAAACACTGATCCCCAAATGTCATTAATACAGAGGCTGAGAAATACTGTCTGGAAAAATATTGTATACTAACAGGTGCATAAAAAATTTCGGAGTGAATTACTCATGGGGACATGGAAGAATAGATGGATTGATGCACTTGAGTAGACAGCCTCACAGAAGGTTGAACTTGTAGCAATTATGAACATTTAATTTAATTTGAAATAACATTAGAACTACCTCATGAAACAGATTAAGCATTTTTAGCTTATTATATGGCTTTGGATAGTCACAGTTTCTCTGGTCTCATATTTGCAGATCAAAATGTAATAAATAATAACAGTTAACATTTACTCTGTTTGACCCACATGGCAGTTATTCTGTGGAGTGTTTTGATTGCTTCATTGTCCTAAACTTCACAGTTACTATTACCAATTCACAAATGAGGAAACTGAGGCTCCAAGAGTTTATTTGCCTAAGGGTATTAAGTCATTGAAGGAGCCAAGATTTGAGTCTAAGTCCTTCTGGCTCCAGGGCTTAATGGTTTAGCTGCTACATGGTTAGTCGGAGACAGAGTACACCAAAAGGGTTACTAACACGAAACTGCAATCCTGTTGTTACTGCAGGATTTCAAGGACACTCATAATCTTGGCTCAGTGATAACTTAGATTCATGCATTTCCTATGGAAGCCTTTGAAAAATTCTACTTGAGCCTTGACATTCAAAGTTCTTTATTTGATGTTGAACCTTTACTAAAGTTTTTTGTCTAATACTGAACCACTCTCATAGGTTTGACAGTATTGATTTGCCAAGTATTTTTTTGCATGGGAAATTCAGAAATGAATTATTAGCCAATAACTGGAATATACATTATGGTTCTATTTCATAGAACTCCAGTAAATCAGATGCGGTGATTAGATAGAGGCATATATCTTAAATCCATTGACTCTTTCCTTCCTCTTTTTGGTCCTGACTTCTACACTCAGAAACTTATTTTCAAAGATTGATTCTGAATCCTTTGGAGTTAACAGAGTCTGTGCAGAATTTCAATTTGGTTGACTTGGAAGGACTGAAGAGTCTGGCAAGTTTCCCGGACCAACTTATTTCATGGGGGGAAAAAAGTGAAAATTACCGAAGGACTAGGGGACAATTGTGTTGCTGCAAAGTGCTACAAGAAATCTATGCTTTAACTGCTACAGGACAGGTGGGAAAGTGATGAGCTATGAAAGGCTATTGCCTTTTTATCTGTGAGAAATAAAATCCAGAAGCCCTTTTGGTATCTCCATCAGTGCTCAGCAAGATGGCACCTGTGTGTCTGGCTCTGATTTCTGCCTCTGCTTAGTTTGTGCATCTCCCCTCCTGTCCATCTGTCTGTCTATCCATCCATGACCTGTGCATCCAGACATCATCTGGAGCTGGAATAGCCAGGTGGGTCCAGGTATCGGGTGTCTGAGTCCATCCCATGAGCAGTGCCTGTCCATCTCCCCTGTTCCACTCAGCCTTGGTGTGGCTCAGTTTCCTCACATGCACGATGTGATAATGTCTACCTGAAACAGTCGTCATTACCACAAAGCAAGGATGCAGGTGAAGAGTTGAGGGCAGCACCTGAAGCATGATAAGAGCTCAGTGCATTGTTAGGACTAATGAAGTTGAAGTAGAGAGGGGACTTTAGGAGCAATTCCCATGAGACGAAGCAACAGAGAAGATGTGTGTGTGTGGGGTAAAGTGGGTGAGGGGAGTGGAGTGTGTGACATAGCTTCACCGTCCGTTACCTGCTGTGCCCTTTTCACCTTTCTCTCCTTTCCGGCCGTCTCTACCATCTCTTCCTGGAAGGCCGATGCGACCGTGGGGCCCCGGGGATCCGTTGGCTCCAGGGGGGCCTGGTGGCCCAGGTAAGCCAGGAATGCTGCAGATGTATCTTGGGGAGTAGCTGTCTCCTTTGACCTGATTGCCCCGAGGTTGTCCACTTGCACAGATGGCAAAACTTGTGACATAGAGCAAGACAAACATCTTTGGCTCTGGAAGAGAAAAACACACATCAGTGACCCCTTCCAGGAGGGGGTTTGGCGTGGCTGACTGTGCTGGAGCAGGGGAACTGGCACTGACAGCTCTCAACTTTTCACACGTGTGTTCCCTCATAGTTCCATTGAAAATGACATTAGATGATGTGGAGTCTCAGTGTCCCACACAGGGGTTGGTGTAGACAAAGGCTGGATTAAAAGGTTTTCCCAAAAGACATCACTGCATTGCATTTATTCTACAGAGTCAGTGATAGACTTTGAAAAATGATGCTTTCATTTTGCAAAAGAAAAGCATTTTTAAAAAATGGAAAATTAGAGATGCAAATGAATAAGATAAATATCGGCACTATTCTCATCACTCAGAGATAATTACCCTTTACTCTCCAATATATACATGCTTCCAGTATTTTTTGTCTGTGCCATGGAGAAAAGCAATAGGGTATCATTCCTATAATTCTTCAACTTTCTTTACTTTACATATGAACATCTTCTTACGTCAAAAGTTATTCACAGCATTAGCCAGGTGCAGTGGCACATGCCTGCAATCCCAAGGCTTGGGAGGCAGAGGCAGGCGGATCACAAGTTCAAAGCCAGCCTCAGCAAAAGTGAGGCACTAAGCAACTCAGTGAGACCCTGTCTCTAAATAAAATACAGAATAGGTATGGGGACATGGCTCAGTGGTCGAGTGCCCCTGAGTTCAATTCTTGGTACTTCCCCAGCCCCCCATGAAAAGTTACTCATAACATTAAAAAATATTGCTTTTGTCTCTACTACTTTATATATATGTACAGATGTACATATATACCCCCACATATATACACATAGGCATGTATACATGTATACATACACACACACACACACACACATGTATGCAATTCCCCATTATAGACATTTGTTTCCAGTGTTCTGCTAATGTAAACAGCACATCAGACATGTTCTAACTAATCTTTGCATATATCCATGATAATTTTTTTGTAAAAGTTAAAGCAGGAGCAAGGAAGAGGCATTTGCAGGAAAACCATGTTTTTCACTTGATAATCATGCCTAATGCCAATTAGTGTTAATTGGAGCACTGTGCATGTCCTGAGGGGAGTCTCAAACTGTAATTTAGAATCTGCAGGATATAATGTCTTGGTGTCCTATTAAGCCGTTAGCACTGGGGGTCAATTAAAGAGCTATGTGAAATTAGACCACGCACGCGCCACATGCTCTGAGTGAAGCGGGCGCAGGTCTCTTTGGCTCTAGTCTGGTAGGACGTGGGTTTCCCTCCACAAGGCCTGAGAACGGAGCCCTTATTAGCATGGACCCTGGCACACAGGCTGAGGGTTGGGGAGGGGCGGTGCAGGCTGTGGAGACCTGAAGTTTTAGGCCAAATGATCCTCAGGATAAGCAGTTTCTTGAGAGGTGGTTCTGGTTTTGTGTAAATGGGGAGTATGTGGATGGTTGAACATGATTTTTTTTGTACTTCTCATTATACAAAAGAATGGGTTTCCTAGTGGCATACTTGTACAGGCAGATAACATGTACTATGATCCTATCCATCCCCCCACTGATGGGGGGTTTTCTATTTTCCCTTCACCCTCCTCTTGATCCCCTTCCTGTTCTCTGATGGTCTCTCTGGACTTGGGTTTTAGCAGGAAATCTGTACAGTGCTTGATCTGGACTATACTCTCCCAAAGGAAATAATCATGAAACCTGGGATAAGCAATTACATAGTTTCTTTTTTCTTTTTTTGTACCAGATGTTGAACCCAGGGATGCTTAACCACTGAGCCATATCCTTAGTCCTTTTTATTTTTTGAGACAGGGTCTCCCTAAGTTGCCTAGGGCCTTGCAAAGTTGCTGAGGCTGGCTTTGAATTTGTGATCCTCCTGCCTCAGTCTCCCAAGCTGCTGGAATTACAGGTGTGTGCCACCGTGCCCAGCTTGTTATTTTTAGACAGCCACCTCAGAGAATTTAACCATATACACAATACCACTTTTTTGGTACTTGGGGGTAATTGCAATATCCAAAGGCTAGACTCAGAAATTTGCCAGAGCATAGGAATGACAAACTGAGGAAAACACAGTATGCTCCTGAGATTTTTAATTAAGACTTATTCCTAGAAATCTTATTACTGAAAAGCCGAAGTCACTTATCCAAATAGAGACTCCATATTCTTGACCAAATCTCAGTGTCATCAGCCTTCTTTCTTCCCTCCCAAATTAGAGAGAATGTCTTTGCCATGTTCTGTCTGCTAGGCTTGACATACCACACTGTCTTAATCTGATTTTTTGCTACTATAATGAAATACCCAAGATTGGGTACTTACAAAGAAAAGAGGTTTATTTAACCCATAGTTATGGAGGCTGGATGTCCAAAATGCATAGTGCCGGTTCTGGCGAGGACCCTCTCAGCTGCATCACTTCAAGAAAAGATGGTATCGTGGTGGGAATGCAAGTGAAAGGGAGAGATCAGTTGGCAAGACAGGAAGCCAGAGTAACAGGGAGTGGCCTGTCTTGTGACTGTGCACTGAGCCCCTCCCCTTAAAAGTCCCACCACCATTCAGGACATAGCTTCCAACACACGGACCCTGGAGGCATACACCTAAACCATATCCACATCATGGCAAGCACTATCCTATGGCTCAAATGGTTTTAAGGTTGTTTCTGACAGCCCCAGGGTTCTGATAAAGACACCAGCACTTCCAAGCAAGCTGCAGATGAAGGAAAATTGTGAGAACGTTCTAGACACAATCCTTGCTGCAGTCAAAACCAGATGCATCGACTAAGTTGCCTGGTCCTCTCTCTTGTAAACAACTGATAATGGGGAGGCTCTGAGAAGGAATGTGAAGGTGGAGAACATCTGAGGTCACCTGGAACAGAAGGTATAGGCTATAGGCCAGAAAGTGGTTTGAAGAAAGACTGGGAATGATCTGGAGGAAGGTGCCCTGGGCAGTGATAGAGAATACAACAAGGCCAACAGTTGTGGAGTGCGGGGGCGGGGTATCTGGAAGAAAATCTCAGTAACATCTAGTTGATGATGGACAGAGGAAGCAGAAACCTAAAAGATGTGCTTGCAGGAAAGAATATTGACCATCACCAATAGCCAGGCCACAGGTGCTCAAAGAGGGATAAATAAGAGCAACTGAAATGAACCTTGCACCAATGGGTTGCTTTTCTTTGAGAAATGCCCTGGTAAACTGTCGGCACCAGTCTAAAAGCACGACCCCATTAGGACGTTCTGAAAGGCTCTCCCGATGATCATCCACTAACGATCCTTATCTGACGCAGAAACTCAATGTGTCGTGGGGCCTGACGGGCAACGATGGCCTGATGATGAGTGTCAGTCCATTCTTGGGACTCCGTTCACGCAGAAGGAAAAGGGGTGCGGGTCATGATGGAAAGCCACAGTGGCCTCTCCCGCGATGGCTGTCCACTTCACTTAGGAGCCAACAGCTTCGTGTCCCTGTACCACGGTGGGTGAGGCCCCCTAACTCCCCTGATTTCTACTCTGCTCACTCTCCAGTTCCAGTCACAGTGGATAACCTGGGGTTCCCAAGGACACGGGTGCCTCTGCCTCAGGCCTTCACATGTTTCTTCCCTCTGTGTAAAGCCCTCTTCACCAAGATGTCCATACACGGCTCCCTCCCTCCCCTCCTTCTGCAAGTCTTGCTCAAATGCCACCTTTTCATGGAGCCCAACGGTTTGCACCTTATTCACGATGCAATCTGACCCCCACCCCAGCCTCCCTCTTTCTGCTCTACTTTTCCTGTCTCCATTGTGCTCACCATCGAGGACTCCTGTCTTTATTTTACACTGCACATTCTGTCTGAGGGAATGGAAGCTCCCCGAGGGCAGAGCTCTCTGTCTTAGTCATTAATATGTCTACCCTAGAACAGTGCTTAGTACAATAAACCCCAGCCGGAGGAAGTGAAGACTTTTTGTGGGGATGGTGTGAGTTTTGTTGAATAAAAAGTAGTGAGGAATTACGGAGTATGAAATATTATAAGAGAAAGAGAGAAAAGAAGATTTCCAGAAGGCTTTCTGGGGTCTATGTGTCCCTTTCACAGTATTTGAGGAATAAAGGACTTGAGTTGTTTTGCCTTTAAGTCTATGGTGTTTAAAAATATACAAAAAGCTCTTTTTTTGTATTTATAATATAGGCGCTCTAAAATTCAAAAGAAAAAGGGTATGAAATGACAAGTAAATCTCTTCTTATTTTTCTGTCTTCTCAACAGTTTCCTCCCTGAAGGTGGTGACTGTTGTCAGTTTCTTGTGTCTTCTCCTTCCCCGTGTTGGCATCCTCTGTACCATGTTCTGCACTTGGCCTTTTTGCTGAGCTTCTTTATAGGTATGCAGAATCATCCCTTGGTGTCCATGGGGGATTGAGTCCATGACTGTCCAGCCCCCATGTATACCACAGTACAAGATGTTCAAGTCTCTGATATAAAATGTTGGCATATTTACCTATGACCTATGCACATCCTCCTGTGTACTTAAGTGGTCTCTGGATTACCTATAATACTTAACACAATGTAAATATTATGTGAGTAGTTGTTACTGTATTGCCTAGAGAATAATAAGAAAAAAGTCAGTATGGGTTCAGTACACAGTTTTCTAAAATATTTCTGATCTGTGATTAATTGAATCCAAAGATGTGGAAATTGTGGATGTGCAAGGCCGACTGTGTGTATCTGTACTGGGGTTGACAGAGCTACCTTAGTCCCTGTTATTTCGGTGTCCATAGAATATCCAAAATATGTTATATTTAAGTAGTTGATGGACAGGTAGAATATTTGCATTCTTCTGTTATTCTAAACAACAGTGCACTGAATATTTATATTTATCTATCTGTACATGGTCCGTGACACACAGCAAAAAATTTTTCCCAGTTTGTCTTTTCACTTTTTTCATGTAATTAAAAAAAACATTTTTATTGTAAAAACATTTTTTGAAGTCAAATTTATTGTGTTTAGAAAGCTTCCCCCACTCTAAGGTACTAAAAGAGTCTTTCTCTTTCT